ATCTGCTGAGAGTACAATTTGCTATGTTACTCACTTGTAAGACGGAGACAACACATGCGGGAATGAAGTCTTCTTAATACCAATAGTTCATGTCTTAAAAATATCATTGATTTTTTGACGCATGGTCTGCAGTGGGTAGAATCACAATTTCTCCTCCAGTAATAGTACAAGTTGGCTAGTAAAAAATGAATTAAATATAGCTTTTTTTGTTCTGAACTAAATAATCCATTCAACTAATCCTGACTATAAGCAATTTCATACAAACATTTCAACTTACCAACATTTAAGGATAAGAAGTACCTAAAGATTTAGTTTTTATATTATATATTATGAGTTTTGACTAATTAAATATTCGAATAATTGAAAAAGGGTCGATTAAAAAATCTCCAGGAACTGAAGGTTTTAAAAAAACCATTTACTAATAAAATTTTATTTCCAGTTTTGATAAAAAAATATTTTTACATATATTTTAATATTCTATGATTTAGAGTTTACGAAAAAACAAATTATTAAACTTTTTCAAAGTCTAATAGTTTGTTTAATCGGTAATACTGTATTTGTTTATCATCTAATTCTTTTCAGATTTAAATACTTCTACAACTTAAACTTTTTTAAATTTAAAAATTCCCCTTTAGCATTTACTGCCAATAATATCTTATGTACATATGCTTATTGTATATAATTCTATTAAATGTTAAAAAAAAATGAAAAAAAAAAATGTTGGTAGTGGCCGTTATATAAGAAAAATATAGTAAACAAAATACATTTTGAATGATGTACAATGATATTATTAACTATTAATTTACTAATATTAGTATTCACTTTTTAGTACTATTTTTTATAAATATTATTGATTATACTTTTATAAGTGTTTTGCTTAAAAATAATTATCTATGTATTCGATCTCTGATTATTTTTAGTTCTTAATTATTTAAAATAAAATCAGAAAAGTTTGTCTTTTATTTGTGCTATATTTAATAAAAATAAAAATATTCAATGCATGACAGTGGTGTAATTAAGAATGTTTCGTGGGGAGGGATATCAAAATAAATATTCAATACAGACTTGTGGGGTGCTTTGTCCCCTCCCCGTATCTACATTTAATATCCCATCACATATCTATATAATTATTTTATATTGCATATACAAATGAACAAAAAAAGTTCATTAATTTTTTTTTATAATATTAAGTCCAAATTCCTTGGCTTCTTGGCAAGTTCATCAATTACCTCTCGCCTAAAAATCATTAGTAGTCGATTTCTTTTTGTTTTTGGATTAGAAAAATATAAAATTCTAATAATAAATTTCTATTTACTGCGAAGTGTGCATAGAAAAAAGATTTAAGTCGTTAGTCGTTACAGAGTGATAATGTGTACAGTGTAGTGTTTAGCGTGTAAACCCGTTCCGAAAACAAATGCAGATACTGTGTGACAGCACGAGTTAGTAGTATTCACTATTCGTTCATATCAATATTATTGTTAATCTTGAAGTTACATTTTTACTATTAGATTATATTTTTGGAATTGCGGTTTTACCCATCATTGGAGTATTTACTATCGCATATATCTGTGTATGTAGCATGTAGGTTCTGTAATTACTTTTCAGTACGTAGAACTTGTAGCTCTAAAAAATCATCATATATGCACTTAAATATATAAAATATGCATTTTAAAATGTTTATTTTTTAACAAAATTCAAGTTTTTCCGTAGGCACCAATTATTTTAATGAATACATTTTATTTAAATTTTAAGTACTGCTTACAAGTTACAATAAGTATTCAATTATTTGGATTCATGTTATGGATTTTCAGATGCTTCTTATAACTATACTCTAATAACCAGTCAATCAATCTAATAAGCAACTCTTGAGACGTGTTTCCAGGAAAGACATGCAACTGGGAAAAGTCAACTGCCATGTTCATATTATGATCAAAATTTAAAATAATTTTAAATTCAACGTTATTTTGGACGTTGACAAAAAAAATATTGATAAAATGATAAATTATTTAAAATATGCATTTAAAAGTATGAAATGGAAGAAATATGCCTTAAAAACTAAAAAAAACTCAAAATATGCATTTATATGCAAAATAAAATTTAAAAACTAACTTTGTGAAAGTATGAAACATAGTTGTTTCATGCTCTTCTATTTTTATGATTATGAAAAAAAAATACGTTAAGAGTTCTGCCCTAATAATTAGATACAAATGTATGGTGGGACACCCCGTATTTATAAATTTATAAAAGATAAAGATGAAAATTAAATAGGTAACCATTTATTTTTAAATTATGCTTATTGCTTACAGACTAACAAACTTATTATATACTCATACAAGATACAACCGACACAATTTGATTTCATTTTGTATTTTTGTAATAATTTATAAATTTGAAATTTGAATTTAAAATATTTGTAGGTAAAAGTCAATATATAAACACAGCTTACGGGGGGGGGGGGGAGAGATCTATCCCCGATATCTCCCTCCGTAATTACGCCCCCGATGCATGAAAAAAAATGACAGTCGAAAAATAACATAATGTTGGAAAAAAGAACACTTGTTCGTAATATTTTGTTTTTAAATCAAAAACATGCCTATAGGTCGATTAATTAATTTTGAAATTTAAAAAATATTATGGCAATTAATAAATAATATTCTATTAAAATGTCAAATGCCAAGCAAACAAAAAAATATTTAATTCAAACTTCAAAACATCTTATTAATAAGAAATAGATAATAATATTATATCAACTTACATAGATTAAACTGTCATTTTAATTATGATCGATATTGGCAAGTCATTCGAGTAACTATTTTAAGTGAAATACTGTAAATTTAAAAAAAAATGTACATATTATATTATACGGTGAGTCAGAGTTACACGAGATTAGTAAAACCGATATCGCACAAATTGAGTAACGTAATATTACATTATAACAATACCATTGACATTCACATACCTATTAATAATAGAGGAACTACGATTTCGAGTATGCAAGGCTTGACATTAACGAGTTTAATGAGAAATGATTTTCTCTATAAGTGTTACCTTACCTTTAAGATGTGCTAACCAACAATGCTTGGAACGACTAACAACTAACAAGTTAACTTTTATAACCACAATAAAAATACTAGAACTTTTAATGAGTTATTTTTAATATTATGACAAACTCGCAGTTACTAGGAAAAGTTTATTTTACTAAAATACAAATATACTTATATCAGCTATATAATAATATTTACCGCGAATTTCGTTATTTGGAACTTTTCCTAGTATTTTGATCAAGATAAAAATATTTTTAATGACATGATTTTCGGTTTACAATATTAAAGTACTTTATACATTATAGAGAGGAGCTGGCCTAATGTAACCGACAAGACAGAGAGACCGGATTAAACGCACTGAAAATGTTTGAAACTTTGCAATGTAATAATGTCAAAATATGCAATAGTATAATCTATTAAAATAGTTAATATTTTTTAATCTATTAACTAGTATTTACGTATAAGACAGTTTGTATTTGATATAGTAAATGTATGTTAGATACCCATTGTATGAATGAATATTTATTACTATGCTTTTGATTACCTACTGTATAGATTTACAGCACACCAAAAATAACAGTACAAATATGAAATATTTTTGATTGTCAATATAAGGTTTGCAAGTAATCGTTTTTCAGCACCAAGTATAATTATGTTTTATTTTTTTATTATTATTATTATTAAAAGTACATCTACAACTGCTACTGCATACATCGTATACTTTTATTTCAATATTTATTTTTTTTATATACAATTTTGTATAAGTTTAATACTATGATTATATAATATACTTTATAATAAGAACATTTATTGAAAAAAAAAATTAACAAGATGTGTTGGCATCATAAAAGAAGTGTTCTATATTATAGTCACTATTTCAAAGATATGAATTCTAGTTTTAATTATAGATGCCGAGTGTAGCGATGAATATATTGATTTTGCAATGATGTGTATTTTACTCGTAATTCTTGTTGTGTCTACTTTTTTTTACTTTTTTAGTAGAAAACATGTGCTGATCATTTACATCGGTATCTGATAGAAAATTGGATCTAGTTGGTACTTTTAGCCTTTTGGAGATCAAAATTGAAAATTCTTAATACTTTTTAAAATAATGGAGAAAAAAATAAATACGAATATATTTTGTAAGCATTTTAATATCATTATTAAATTATTGGTTTGGTTAGTTATTTTTCTATAACTAATGTTAATAAGACAAATTGAAATGGCTATAAATAGCTCAAAATAAGTCAACACATTTTTGAACTACAACTTATTATACAAATTGTGAAATACTGGTTTTACCCAAAAATTTCTGTTTTTCTCTAATTTATGATTTGCTTTTCCCAATTTTTTTAAGCGCTCGTGTGTAATGTATTAATATTCGCTCTCTGAATATTAATAATAACTATAATAAGCTCGATAATAAGTAACATAACATTTCTATTGTGAGAATATTGTACGCCAATAACACTGGGAAGACATTTATACATTTTAAAATGATCAGAACTTACTTTAAATCCTCCGAGATGCTCCAGATCAAAAATTCTTGTCTCTTAAATTTCATAAGAGGTTAATTCACTTTAATTTTAGACATTACAGTGTAAAACGTATTGTGTGAACGCGCAATTTTCCACTTTGCACGTCTGTAAGACGGAACAACAAAATGCCCTCTTCATAGTCGACACTCTAATAAATAAATAAATAAATAATAAAAAAAACAAACAATATTATTTTATACACTTCGGAGAGCCAATATGTGGACATCGTACCGTCATCGTCGATTTGACTCGCGTCTCGGTAGCCCGAGCTCCTGTAATAAACCCGAGGGCGGCCACGCCGTAGCCGGTTCGGCGGCGCGCATCGTTTTATATCGCCGTCGCCGCCGCCGCCGCCAGCGCCGAACACCGGTCGGCGGCACACGACGACGACGACGAGTCTCTCGCGCGCGCGTCTCTCTCTCGCACGGCGTCGGCACGCGAAAATTATAACGTTACGAAAGACATCGCACGGTCGCCGTCGTCAGTCCGCCGCGTCCAGCCACGCGCCCAGCACGTCTTCCGCCGGAGCTCGCACGCCGGTCGTTGTTTTGCGCGGGCGATTCGTCCGATTTTCGGTCCGTCACATTTACGCCGCGATTAGTTTTTCTCTCCTGTTTTCCCTTCCGCCGAGTACGGTTTTTTTTTCCCGCTTAAGTTTCGTCCATTTTGACTCGTAATATTATTATTATTATTATTATTATTATTATTATTATACACAATATGCAGCTCTGAAAACCGATCATATTTTTATTATTATTGTTGCTGTTAGTCCGTCACTCGTATATCACAATAAACATAATCGTATTATATTCGTCGTTCGATCACACAGTGCCCGATCGACAAATCGCGAGTGATACACTTCGTCGTCACCGACAGAGACGCGTCCGTCCGAGGAGTCTTAGTTAAGTGTGTGGAACTTGCTACGAAATACCATATCATCGCATTATCCACCGCCAGGTAATAATTAATTATTGTTGTGATTATTTGTCCCGTTTGCCATAGTTATCTTACAATTTAATAAAATATACCTATCCTCGTCATCGCCATTTAAAACCCTCACCGTAATTTTTGTATCATTATTATTATTACGGTTAATAATTATTGTTATACGTACACTACGACCCGTCCTCACTGTCCCCCAAATCGTAGGTACGGCCCGGACACGGTTTGAATTGCAACTGTAGTTTGGCTCATTCCGATTTTCCAAGTACCTCCCCCCCCACCAATATAAGAAAACTCATCACTCGCAGAAAAAACGCTCAGACCCCATTTGTATGTTGTTTTTTCTTATACACGCACGCGAACATACCTTACCTATACGCCGAGCGTAAAACTAATTTAAAAGTTTTTTTTCTCTATTCCTAAAACAGAACGTTTTGTTTTTTTTGCCTGCTAAATTACAAATTGTTTTCGTACATGCCTACGTTATATAGGTAGTCTGTATATCGTTATAAATTGTAAGTATGGAAACTATAGAGAAAAAATTCTTAATTTTTTTTTCTTACACTTACATTACTATACACGAAAAGAATTATTACCCAATAGGTATGTACTTATACGAATTTTACCCATTGTATCTGTTATTATTCATACGGTTTTAGAATCTGAGATTATAATATCTACGCAGAATATTGTTATGGCCATGACAGTTCTCGACAGGTAACCATTATAATACAAAATAACGTGTTTATATTATAATTTTTCTAATAAAATAATAATATATACTAGTGTCAAAACTTTGGATTTTTTGCTCTCAACTCATTGCATAATTATGTATTGTTTTATTGTTTAACAACTATACGAATTATGAACGAAAATATGAAAATTAAAATTGTCATTTAAGCACAGAATAAACGTTTGAAAAACAATTACTATCTATATAACAAATAGCATCGACGGGAAACGGTGGTTGGTTGATATGTTCTGCCATTCGTCTAGTATTATAGTCATGACACTTTATTCACCTAAGTGCAAGCCAGTGTCACATCATTATTATTTAATACTACACATTAAATATTGAAACCAGTGAAAATATGTAAAAAAAAAAGATTAAATGGATCCATCTTTGTTCACTATTTAGGTGTACCTTGTGTTTATATTAGATATATGTCCACATATATAGTTTTTAAATTACCATAAGAAATATTTACATATACGTTCGAAAATGTATTGAATTTTTTATCAATGTGTTTAGCCTTTATTATATACGTATACATGATAATAATATTTTACAATGAATATTTCAAAAAACAATGAACATTTTGAAGCATTATTTTACCCAGAAGTATAATACGTCTATTATTATGCCAATTCCCAATTTAGCATACAATATTAATGGCGCTTACATATTTTTTCCTCGCTTAAACATTCTATTCTAACTCAACATGCTTTTAATTTATAAAAGATATTTTTTAAATGAAGTACACCGTTCACGACCAATTTCCTATACTTATAGTATAGCACTATAAAATATATTCTACAACTTATAACAAGCCATTTTATTAGTCCAAACTCCAATGAATGTTTTCCGAATAAGAAATACACTCACCATTGTTACAAATCTATAGCTGCGTTAGTATATAAATGGCTTCCATTCAAAATCTAAGTGCATGAATAAATAATAAATATATATGAATTCTGATAATATATGGTATTCGAATTTCTATATAACAATGTAATAATCTATCTATATGGGTATATGTATATATAATATAATATTTTATATTTATAAAGAAAAATTGTACTTTCAAAACAATTTGATGTAAGTAAGTACCTATAATTGAGATAAAAAAATTAATTTTTGTTTTATTGATCTATTTATTTCAATAACCTGTAGTTATATGATATTTCAAATAAATATATTAATAAATAATAACTATACAGATACATATATATGAAATAATACAATTCAACAACTATTGTTTACCTATACTATCAATGATGTATTCTTCACTGAAGTGGAAAATGTAACTGATCATTTATGTTAGGAAATCTTAAAATTAAGCACTTTACCTTTTGATTTGTCATTTAAATAGGTAGATTATACAACTATTATTCAGTTAAAATGAGATGGTACAAAATTATGTTCACAACAATGTTCAATAAGAAAAGTATCTATAGATACTTGTCTAATTTCTTTTAATTTATATTTTGAATTTTTATATAATAGCATTCAGTAACATAAACTGCAACAGAAGACCATATGTGGGTAGATTCATTTTGTAGTAGAGCATTTGCCTATGGATCTACTACTTTTCTTTTATTGATATATTATTTTATTATTTATAATTGCTATACAAACAATTGAAATCTTTAATAAATGCAAGATATTTTCTTGGTTGAATTTTCAGTAAAAAATGTTTGGGTATTTGGCAGAGTTTTTTTTATTAATTATTATTATTGGCAAGAATCGTTTTTGAATAAAGTACCTTTTTTTCTTTTTTTAGACAATACTCGAGGATAAAGTATTTAAAAAATTCCATAAACAACAGTGCTTGGGCTAAAGGCGATTTTAATAAACATCAAAACGTGTCTGTTTGTTATCTGAATTTAAAAGTAAAGTGAAAGCTGCTAATATAGGCTACTGTTTAAAAATACATGCGTTTGGCAGTATGTTTGAATAATATACACATTACACATGACTACACTTCGGGCATACAAAAGTTATTTTACTATTCAATTATCATTTTGATTTCAATGAACCTGATAATTGGAAATTAGAAGGTTTATTGTGAATTTTATTCAATCGTTACGGCGTGTTACGCTAATCAAAGAATAAATATTTTTTCAATGTTACGGAATCATTTTCACTAACATGATATTGTCGTATATTAGGATAATATACTTAAAGGAACTTTCTAGAAATTTTAAAAATAATAGAAAATTAAATGTTTATAGATAACTGCTAACTTACATAAAAAACGATAGACATATTAATTATATTATCAGTCTTTTAATTGCTTACCTACAACTTAATATCAAGTTATAACTGACAAGTTATCATTGTTTAATCAAAACTGTAGGTTTGTTACAGTCGGGTTTCGTTTACTTATTTATGTTTTTGATGTTTTGATTCAATAAAAATAAAGTGAATATTAAATATAAATCCATTTAGTTAAAAACATAAAGGAAACAGTTACTTTCTTATTAGCCCAAATATTATTTTTGAAATTAATCATTGTGCATTAATTATACATGTGTTAAACAAGATAATACACTTCTGCTGCATCAATTTGATATTAAAAACATGGCTTGTTAACAACTTTTAATGAAATAACACTAAAGCGCAGTGTGTTAATTGATAATGTTATTAAATTATGGAACAGTAAAGTTGTAAGCGATAAAAAATATTTATTTTTTTCATATAAATTTTGATTGAAACCAACCCTATTCATAATAATTTGAAGAAAAATAATTTAACATTTTCATCATTTAAATGTTGGTGTTGAAAATACATTTGATATTTATAATAATATATTTATGTAACTATTTTGGAAAATCAATTTCCATTTCAATTTTATTGCTTATCGAAGTGCATAAAAAAATCATCAAGCTTTAAAAATAAAATAAATATTATGCACATAAATCGGAACATAATCGTATCGTAATTTCACAAATTTAAATTTTAGATTAACAAAACACATTGTTGTGAAACGAGAATAATTTGAATAATTTCAAAATCACATTGGGTAAAATCTTTAATTAATCGATCGAAAATTTATTTGTAACATTTGTCATCATTATGTTCTAAATGGAAGTAGTGGTAAAAAATGTAGTGTAGTCACGATACTTTTACATAATATTTTATTATCGACTATGACGTTCATATACAATATACTAAACAATATACTGTTGAATTTGATAAAAGTACATTTAATATATTATAGGTACATAATATATTCATCATCAAGTCGAACTTTGTTAACTCAGGGTATAAATTGAAATAAAAAAAAAAAATAAAAGTAAATAATATAATATAAAATCATTAAAATTACGTTATTTTTAACTATATAAATTATTATTTATACCGCAAGGGCTGGGCTTAGGGGGGGGGGGTGTACTTCCCACTTCTGATACTTAGTGACACTTTTAGTAAACTCTCATAATATCTAATATCTACATTAATAATATGACTTTTTGTAGTCAATTATTAATTTTTTGTTTGTACTTTGTAATAGCAGCGAGTGGGGGATTGGCCCGCCGTTGTTAATTGTTGTGTGCTTTTGTTTTTGACAATAAACGATGGGGGCTGGATGAGAAGTACTTGCACCATAATTCCTCCTCCAGTCCTCGATACCATAAAAAAAAAAAGTCAATTATTAATTTCATTTGATATTATCGGAACGATAAAAAAATTAGTTTTCGAGAAAAGAAAAATTAGTTAACTAGTATAAATATTAAATCAAGGTGATGGTAAATGCAATGAGTGTGTAAAAATACGAACTGCATTTTCTTAATTATCAGTCGGCAAATAGTGATAATTAGTAATTACACACCTATCCCCAGTATACCTGACTAAAAAATGTAAAGTGCTGACCCTGAACTATTACGTACAACGTATTTAATTATGAGTATCTACATAAATATTTCAATATTTTATAAAAGTAGTTATTTTTATTTATTGAGCATATTATGACGTGTAAATCTTTCAATTTTATGGAAAGAATACCAATTTCAATAAAATTTGAATTTTGAGTTATTCTTGAAACATTCGAATAAATTAATCTCGATTTATTTACATTGCTTAAATAGAAAATTCCCGTGACCTGAAAAAAATTATTCCTTTTGAAATAATACTTAGATATTACCAGATATTTTTCCTGAGTGCTTTGATCATGTGATTTTGTTTGAGCGAGTTAAATATACAACTTGTGTACATATAATATATTTAAAGAGGTTTCACATCTCGGTTTAATGCATGCCTATCTAGTTTCGTCGGTTCACTTCATAGAGTATTT